ATGCTGGTCGAAATACTTTTTCTTGTAATTTGAACCCACTGATTTGGATTGATAGTTTTATTTACTATGTGCTAAATGCAATATAAACCTAGAATTAACATTATAATATAAAATAAGAGACTTCTTATTTTAATTATAGATTAGCCTTTAAATATTTAAAGTAACAAGTAAAACTTTATTTAAAGCAACCTCATAGGGATCCATAAAAAAGCAGCCTTCTAGTGTGTTTAATTATTATTTTAAATGACCCAGTTCCAAATGTAATCCTGGCACTGGTCCTCTACACATCCAGAAAAACCCTTAAACACAACATAGCTAGTCTAGTATGTGGTAGAATCAAATAACCATGGCCCAATAATTGAGCCAACAGCATGTGTTCATGAGTCACTTGCTTTCAAATAACTGGGTGTGCCCATAGGCGAGCATATGTGTCAACAGCATAAATTTGTCCCAGTATCTTTGTCGAATTCCCAACTATTATAACAATTGACTATAAAAACATGTAGGGACAAAATAAGGAAGATCCAGAATGGTATAAACAGTATTCTGAACACAAATGAAATGGTAAAAAGGTCTTATGAATCCAACTAACAGGATGCTATAATAATTCAAGCAGGACACAACTAGGGCATGAACCAAAATCTTGGCTGCTTCAGTAGTGAGATAACTGTAAATTGTCATTAAATGGAAACAGTAGCTTTTCACATTTTTTAAATAAAAGATTTTAAGGACAGTCTATTACCAGTGTGAACTGTTAGGTGCCTAACAATTGGCAGGACAAGCAACTTGAAACTCCAATGAAAATAAGAAGGGATAAGAAGATTAGTGTAGAACACAATAATCTTTGTTTCATTCATCTTCGGTTTAAGTTGGGGAGCACATCCAATCTGAAATCCTGTCTAGGCAGATGAAAAGACATACTCATACAATATAAATAAAGACAGATGAATAGATCTGAAAGTCACCATATATATTATAATTTAATTTTGAATATGAAATCAGGAAATATATAGAATGTATAAGAAATCCAATGCCAAGTCCTGAGAAACTATCACTGACAGCAGGAAGGACTAAGAACTTACCTTTTGAGATAGATAAGATTGTAATTATTGAAATGCTGTACTTGTCAAAGGAACTCCATTGTAAAATATTTGGTGGTCCAAGATATAAAAAACAGTGAATAGTTTCAATAGCACTAGTAATAATGATTCACCTTAGCCTCTGATAGGTTAACATGAGCCAATGTGGATTCCATAGAGTATCCTGCCTGAAAACATAATTGGAGTGGGTCCTAGAGATGCTGGTATAAAGGTGAAGCAAAAACTGAGAAATATTATTTCAAGAAAATTATATTAAATTAGGGAAGGGGAAGCAATGGGTGGAAGTTAAAATGAACATAAGGATCTAATTAAGACTTTTTAACAAATGGTATATATAAGCCTGTCTTTCAGACTCAGAAAATCCTAACCCTTTTTTTGGTGCAAATTCAATTGGCGTGGTCAGATTAGGTTGAAGAATGTTTTTGAAAAGTATCTAGGTGACAGGCCATATATGGCTTTATAGTTCAAAGCAAGCATTTTAGGCTGCACCCATTGAAAGTCAATATAGGGGCCCAAACATAGGTGAAACGTGCTCTTGACAAAACATGCCATATAACCAGGTTGCTGTATACTGAATCAGCTGTAGCTTCTATATGATCTTCAAATGTAATCCCATATGTTGTTCATTGCAGTAGTGCAATCAATGATGCGGACATGGTTTAACTGCAGTGAGGTACTTCTGTTTCAAATAGGACAGTATTTTGTTTATAATTATATACTTTACTGGCTATTTTAAATTTATACATATACATATATACATATAACATCATTAAAACTTTTTAAACAGAAGATTAAAAATTAATACAAACTATTATAAGGAAAAAGAAAGAAAGCAAAGAGAAAGCAAAATGTACAAGAAAGAAAATATCCTGTCTAATCATCAAAACCATAAATCACAAATTCATTTTTATGAAAAAATCCCATGAGAGGTTTCCAGTCAGCAATAAATGTAGATAGTATCGTTTCTCTAATCAAAGTGAGTTTATCAATCTCAGCAAGATGTCAATTTCACCAACCATTCTTCCATAGTGGATAAAGCTGAATCTTTCCATTGCTCTGCATATAACATTGCTGCCGATTAAATTGTACACCCCACAGAGCCCCTCTCTAGAGAGACGGGCAGTTAAAAAGTGTGAAAAAATATTTCAAAGACAAAATAATCTTTGTATTTTATAAGATACAGTAATGCTAAAACAAGGGTGATAGTCTTAAATTTGAACATTTGGGAAGTGAACCAAATCTGTACTCATCTGGTAGTTCCCATCAACTTTGTTTAATTCCTTTAAAATCACCAGTAATTTGCACATTTATTTTATTTATTAAATTTATATACCGCCCTATCTCCCTTACGGGACTCAGGGCAGTGAACAGGCGATACTAAAAACCACAATAATAAATAAATAGTTTCTGTGCTAAAATCAAATTAAATAACAGGCCTGTTCTAAAAACACCCCATACAAAACCCCCACTAAAACATAATCAAACTACGCCAAGCCGGCCGCACGGAATAGATGGGCCTTCAGGGCTCGGCGAAAAAGGCCGAAATTGCAGCTTAGTCTTTAAAAAAATAAACCAAGCAAACACATCTAATAAACAAAAAGGCAATATGTGCCCCTCCAGATCCTAAAACACCTCTCCCAGCATACTTTATCACTGATTACTGAATTATAGGTGCCTGTGCATTGAAATTTACCACACATTGGCCAGGATAGAATGCCCAAGGCTCTGTCCTAAACATTTTCATTTGTTTCATGGAAACAAATTGCGCTTGATCCCTTGGGTTACCATTGCATAGGCAAATATTCTGAACTGTTAATTTGGCTCTCAAAATCTTAAAAAAAATATATGTAACAAACATCTATTCAATCAGGGATCAGACTTAGTGTAGAGCAGGGGTAGTCAACCTTGGCTGTTTTATGACTCGTGGACTTCAACTCCCAGAATTCCTGAGCCAGCACAGCTGGCTCAGGAATTCTGGGAGTTGAAGTCCACGAGTCATAAAACAGCCAAGGTTGACTACCCCTGGTGTAGAGCTTCTTGTCCAGGATTGTCTGAAGTGCCAAAATGCAGACACCTCTGTGTCACCATCTAGTGGTTGTCTGGATTTTGGCAGCCCCGAATCTGTTGCCTTGGGGATCTTCAGTCAAAAGTATACACCAGTATAACGTAGTGCCCCGTTTGATGAGGCATGTCCTTCTACTTAAGGCTGCCAGATCCTGGATAACACCACGTGGCAGAAAAGGAACTAAATTTCCTAAACATGGAAATGTCTCGTCGACTAGTGCTCTGGCCGGTTTTCCCATACTGGGCCACAAAGCTGGGTGAAATAGTGTGGGAAAGATTACAAGGGAAGTCCATTGTGGAAGTGGGTAAACATTTGGTTTTAATGCGGATCCAAACCAGTTGAAACCCAGCAGACTCATAAATGTAGTCCCGGCAGTAGGGAAAGCACTCTCCTCATTAAAAAAAAACAAAAAAAAAAAACCTCGAGGCAAGGAGGAAGGCTGTAAAAGTTATAGTATAACTTAGTCGGGCGTGTCACATCCTAAAGATAAAAATGCCACAATCGGGGCAGATAAAACTTCGACGTGGAGCACAAGCACGGACGTAAAAAGAAATCACATCATTACTACCCTCGTTCCCCACCCCATCCCCCAACCCGGGAAGATACCAAGTCTGCTGAGAGGCAGAGAGGGGAAGCTGGAGCCAGTGGAATATTCCAAACGGTTAACGTGACGATCGCGAAGGGGAGGGGTTTTGCCTCAGAGAAGTCACGCTCCACTCCTTCCCTCCCTCCCTCCCTCCCTCCCTCTTGCCCGCCCCTTTCTCGGCCGGATGAAATTTCTCACCCGCTCGACTTGGAGAGGGGCGCGTCCGCTGGTGCTGATGTCAGCGCGCGCCCCTGCGTGGGGGCGGAGACAGCGAGGCTGCCGCAGTAGCAGCAGCCCTGCTCCAGTTCCCAGGCTGCCCCGCGGCTCCATTTGAGCCCCATCTTGAGCGAGGGGAGTGAGCAGTTTGAATTTCAGCTCCTTCGGCGGCGCAGGGGAACGGAGCGTGCGCGGTGCTTTAAGCAAAGGGGGAAAGGAGCCCGGCCGCTCCGCCTCGCTGCCACCTGGCTCGGCAGACGGGGAAATTGCTTTGCCGGCACGGAGCGAGCGACAACGCCGCGTCTAGGAGGCCCGCCCGCCTGAGGGGGCCGCTGTGACCGGACTCGTTCTCGTCCCCTCTTTCTCTCTCCTCCCCAGAAGATGATGCGTCTGGTGCTGATCTCCAGGTAGAACGGGGAGGCAGGGCGGCCTGCGCCTCAGGGACGCCTCGCCGGCTGCCGCCGCCGCCGCCCCTCTCGGCAAGCTTGCGGACAGATCAGTGGCGTTGGCCCGCCTTGGGAAGCCCGGGTCTGGCCGGAAGCCCGGCAGCGGAGCGGCTTGAGTGATAGCGCCACCCCGACCGCGCAACCCGAGAACGGCTGTGAAAGGAACCTCAGCTGCGAAAGGGGACAGCGGAACTCGCGGAGAGGCGAGAAGAGGAGGAGGAGGAGGAGGTGGTGGTGGTGGTGGCGGCGCCGCCCGCCCGCCGAGGGGCCCGCCGCTTTACTCAAGGGGAGGAAGAGGAGGAGCCCGGCCGCCGCCCCCCTTCTCTTTTTGCCTCGTCTCCAACCCCAGGCCTGGTGACCGCCTGCTGAGCCCGGACTGCGTCGGGAGGCCGGAGGAATGTGCGAGACCGCCAGCGACTGCGCCGTAGAGAGAACGTGATCCTCCTCCTCGCTACGCCCGGCCAAGCTTGCGTGGTGGCCAGCTCGGACCCTTCTCAAGGTCCTTCCCTAGTTTTTCGTCGACTCCAGCGAGGGCAGGTGGGCGGAACCCCCTGACTTCTCACTCGCGTCTCTCTCGCGAAGGAGCCATGTCCAAGATGCCGGCCAAGAAAAAGAGCTGTTTCCAGATCACAAGTGTGACGACGGCCCAGGTGGCCAGCAGCATCACGGAGGACACCGAGAGCTTGGACGACCCGGATGAATCCCGCACCGAGGATGTTTCATCAGAGATTTTTGATGTGTCCCGTGCCACTGACTATGGACCTGAAGATGTCTGTGAGCGCAGCTCCTCCGAGGAAACTCTCAACAATGTGGGTGATGCCGAGACTCCAGGGACAGTCTCTCCCAATTTGCTTCTGGATGGCCAAGTAGCTGCTGCTGCTGTTGCTGCAGCTTCTGGAGGGATACAGCCGCCTTCTCCTGCTGTGCCTGTTGCCAATGGAGGAGCGGTTCCCAGGAGCACTGTGATGCCTTCAGCAACTGCCAGCCAAACCTGCTCAGTAGCGACAGGAGGCGGCAGTGTGCAACCAGCTGCTGGTCCGTCAGCCATGCCTCTAACGGCTGCTGCCGCATGCAGTTCTCGCTTCAGAGTGATCAAGCTAGACCACGGTACTGGAGAGCCGTATAGACGGGGACGATGGACGTGTATGGAATACTATGATCGGGACTCGGATGGTGGGGCTGTGTTAGCCAGGACTGGTGATTGCATTAGACACAACAGTACTTTTGAACAAGCTGTTCAAGATAGAGACAGTGGCTTAGGTGCTACTGGTAGTTCGTTGATAGTCTCAGGTGTGGTAACTTCTGTGCATGGCCCTGACTCCTTAGCTGACAGTTCTGTTACTGCTGTTTCACAGCTACTCCAGCCAGAGAAAATAAACCAGCCGTCTCCACAGCAGCCTAATTTTATTATTGGTCAGCAGCCTCACAGTAGTGCTCAGCCAATCTATTCAGGAGCCACAGTAGCAGGCCAGCAGGTGATGGGGCCTCTGTTGCAGACACAGGTAAATGCACAGAGCATGGGGCAAGCTGGGCCTAATGGGAAAGGCTTACCATCTACAAATGTAGCAATAGCTCAGCCAGGTTTGCCTATGCCACAACAACAGGTACAGCAAGCAAATGTACCAGTGGCACAGACTCAGCAGTTTGCCTACTCTCAGTCACAGATTCCACCAGTACACATGGTGTCAGCCCAGACTTCTGGTCAGCCAGAGTACATTCAGCATATGACAGTAATGCAGTCTCAAGGAGCTACTCAACAGGCTGCTTCTGGCTCAATCACAGGCACTGGAGCTTCCAGTCTTCCAGCAGCACAAGTAGTTGGTCAGACTCCCTCACCTCTAGCACCAGTGATGGGAGTTGCTTCACCAGCAGGCGAAACAATAGGACAGGGATCTGGGCTAATGCAGGGTGGCCTGACAACTCCACTTCAGACTGTCATTTCTCAACCAGGAGGTGTGGTACAGCAAGGCATTGGACATGCAGGGGCTGTTCAACAGAAATCCATGACTCAGCAGCAAATGGGTGGAAGCAGTCAAGTGGCTGGTACTCCACACAGTATAGTCTCTGGAGTTCAGAATGTGCCTATAGCTGTACCTGGTACTACCGTGCCTAATGTGTCTACAACTTCTGTTACTATGCCAAATGCCTCTGTTACTTTAGTCCAATCTCAGCTGACCAGCCATACAACTGTCAGTAGAAGTTCCAGTGTTGTCCAGCAACATATTGGCCTTCCATTAATGCAAGGCACAAGTAGTGTACCTACGAATCTACCACAATCTAACATTGGACAGTTTCAGACACAGCCTGTAGGCCAGATTGATGATACTAGAAGAAAATCTGAACCCCTACCTCAACCACCACTTTCTCTTGTTGCTGAAAACAAACTTCACGTGAAGCCACCTATTCCGGACAGTTTAACAAACCCTCTTAATTTACCTGCAACTACTCCTATGAACAGTCTTGCCAGCACTGTTTTTGGCATATCTATTCCTGTTGATGGTGATGAAGACAGGTATTTATTTTTTATATTTTCTAAATGGTTGGAAACACATTTTACTGGAATGTTTATTGAGTTTAAATACATGTTAAATCTCTTTCAAGGTACTTGCTGATAAGATAAGTAGGATAAATTTTAACCTCTCTGGTTCATTACTAAACTATTTATGTTGCAAAACTATGTGGAAAACTTCACAAAGATCTTAAGGAAATGAGATCACAGACATTAAATAAAAAAAGATCAATTTCCATTCTGCTGAAAAGAGTTACAGTAACTCTTGAATCTATGAGTACATTTGGTAACTTGAAAAATACTTTCATTTTTCTGAAGCATGAACTAGAAATAATTAAATTTAGCCTTATTAATTGGATACTGTCAACTTATTCTACCAAATTACTAATTATATATTTTCACAAATGTCATAAAAAATAATTTTTCAGCGAAAGGAAACATCTATATGAGGAAATAAATATAGTCTGGAATATATATCTTCTAGGAGTTTTAATGTAAATCTGCAGATATTAACAAAAGGTACTTCTTAGGAAAAAGAAGATCATAGAGGTAAAGAAGGTTCCACATTGGCTTGCTTTTTTAATCGAACCTTTATCATTGTTACAGATATGTGGTTATTTCATAAGGAACATAAAATCTTAAGAGCATACTGTTCTGCCTTAAAGGATGTTTGCTGAAACGCATGCTACACTAAATTGAATGGGATTGGCTTCCTGAAAAGGAATTGCTTAGGATTGCAATTTTATCATGCTATTTTTATTTTTTTAAAAATAAACAATATGTTCTTGTTTGAAATAAGTTGTATCAGACCTTTCCTAGGTTTTGGAGTTCCATACATAAAATATTTCTAAATGGGTTCTTTGAACAAAGTACCAAATTTGGAAATGTAGAGCTCCCTCATTCGATGAAGCATCAAAATGCTTTAAGGAAATACAATTCAGTAAGAAGTTTATATGTAAAATGTGTAATCACAAAAGTAAAGTAAGATTTTAAAAAAATCAGGATATGCAGAAAATGCTTGTCTCTCTTCTGTAAAGCTGAATGTTCTTGAACTCTAAGACGCTGGTTCTGACACAGCTTTATAAAAGTTAATGTAAGTAAACCTAAAAATGTAGAGCAAGAAATAGTTTGTATCTAAATTTACAATCCTAAAATCACTTTGGAAATATGTTTCAGGATTTCTCAGTTAATATGTATAGGTTTGCTCTGTTGGGTTTCTTTAAAAATATACAATAACTTTCCCTAAAATATTTATTTCTAGAAGAAAAAAACTTTCAGTCATGCAGCATTGTGATCTATACCAGGATATTCTGTTCCATTTAAGTTGTAAGCATGAAATAAAAATTCTCCACTTGGAAAAATAGCAAACTATATTTATGAAATCTTGTCAACAAATCTATTTACCTTTAAATGCAACAAGAGACTTTTGTAGTTTAGAGCAATTGACAAGTCTATCATCAGTTGAATATTACATATAATTCATGATTGCTGTGGTTTATAAAAGATAAACCATCCAATAATAGAGTATTTGTATTATTATGCATCCTTATTCTAACTTCTGGTCTTATTTCCATAACTTGAAGTCAATAAAAGATAAATCCCATGGCAACTTTGCTATTAATATCCACAAGGTTTAAGCATTAATGGATTAATGTATCAATATAAAATGCTTTAATATACATCAGGGGTTTTCAAACTCGGCCCTTTTATGACTCATGGACTTCAACTCCCAGAATTCCTCAGCCAGGCATGCTGGCTGAGGAATTCTGGGAGTTGAAGTCCATGAGTCATAAAAGGGCCGAATTTGAAGACCCCTGATTTACATGCAGGACAAGTCTAAGCAAATTTCACTGAATTTTCACATCATTGTAAGCTTACAGTTTTGATTCTCCAGTTGAATTGTGCTTGTCAAAGTCCTGTGTTCATGGTATCTTGGAATAATGTATATGTAATGCCTATTTTTGAATTGATTCCATTTCATTTTCTGATTATTCTTATAGTATAATTCATTCATTTCTAAATAATCTCTGGTCATGTGTGTATACCCAAATGAAAATGAAATTGCTGTTTTACACAGCCCTTATCTCAAAACTGACAGTATGTTAATAGTGTACTCATATGTACATAATGTTCAAACATATTCTCTTTCTCTTCCCTCCTTTCTATGATGCAATTTCCACTACAGCAGAAGCATGATTTTTGTGTGGGAAAGCAAGAAATAAATTGTAAAAAAAAATAGGGAGAAATGGTTTTTTTTAATAATGTAATTAAAAGATGTAGCATTTTGCTTGGTTTAAAAATTATATGGTTACTATAACTTAAGATTCTTCCAGTTAATTGGTTTGCATTAAATATTAAAGATATTACAGTGTGGGATGCTCAGGAGAAGCCTGTTATTTTTAGCAGGTAATTACTTATTTCTGTGTACTTACATTATGCTGCTTAGCTACTATTACAGTTAAATTTTGAGGCAAAGAAGTTCTATAACAAAATAACTCAGCAGTGTAATCAAAATATCAGTTTTTAAACTATCCTATTAAAGTAAAATACTACTACAAATCAATTCTGGAATTAGTTCTGAAGCAATTTATAGGTATTCCAATACTGTTTATTTGTTTTTTGAAAGATATAGGATAGGTAGGAACTTCAAAATGAAGTCTTGTTTAATATGAGGGATTTCAAAGCACAGATCCTGTTGATAACATTGTTTTGTTACTTATTAAACTATTATAGTTTCTGTGCTATTGTAACCCATTATCAAGGTTGTTTAAAACTGCATTGGAAATAATGTCTCTTCTGATCGATGGTCTTCAGAATTCTGGGTGGGTCTCATATTCATCAGCAGAAAAATTACATAATCACTGGATTCATACATTCTAAGCAATTGCTTAGTTTTGGCTTAGTGTCATGTGAACAGAGGAAACTTTGTTTAACAGATTATGACATAATTGAATCTTAACATTCAGTTAATTGATCTCAGTATGTGGTATTGAATTGGTAATATGCAAATATTCTAAATCTGAAAAAATATAGTTGAAAAATAGATTGATCTGCTTGCTCCAAAGCTGACATACTTTTTCTACTTTGGTTTAATAAATGTCCTCTATGGGATATACTAAATTAATAAATTATGAAGCTACATTTTTAGTTTTTAAATTAGTAAATGCTTCATAGCATTCAAATAAAAATTGTTTTAAACAAATTAGCATATATTAGATTGCTAAAGTTATATTCTTTTAAATCCAGAGACTTTTTAAGAAATATAACTAACTCACTATTATACTTTTGGCTCTTGTGAAAACTTATTTTAAATTCTTATTTTTGAATTGGTAGATACATGGTGTAATAATACCATAGACTGGATGGAAAGATTTAGTTAATCAATATAGAACTGCATGAGCTACAACCCAGAATTTAATGAATGTCTGCAATGTGAACTTTCAGCAGTTACCCACTAGATCACGGGTGTCAAACTCGTGACTTTTTCCCCATTGCCGGCAATGGGGTGGCGCGGTTTTGACGTGACACATCCGGCCCACGGGTCGGCAATTTGACACCCCTGCACTAGATGATTGAAAATTTGCAAGAATTTCTTCACAAACTATCCTTGTGTTATATTTAAAATGTATTTTTCTAGTGTCCAAATTGGTGATAAAATATTATAAAGGTAAAACTAACCTTTTGAGGATTTTTTCTTCATGGAAGAAAAACTTAACTTCGCTTTAATATTGATGATGGTTTCTTAATCCATCGTTCATAGCATTTATATATGCTATTTGAAGGCTAGATTTACAAATGATTGTACAAACTGAAAATAGTAGGCTCTAGGCTTTATTCACATCCTGTTATTATTGATTTCTCCCTCCTAGTTGTTTCTTGAGCTTACTAGCAGGTATAACCATCAAGTTTTCATTCTCTAAAATTGGTTTTTGCTATGAACCCAGTTCAAGGCTTATATGCATCCTTTGAGATTCACTGTAGTTCTATATAATTAACTGTATGGAATAACAACAATGTATTTTCTTATACATTCATGAAAATATGTGGGAGTTAAAGTTCATTCCAATCCTTTCTAAATCTATTACATTCATAATATACGCCAAACATGCTGTAACTATAGACTTGATATTTTACATTATTAAACATAATGGTCTAAAATGTTCGGGAATTGAAACCTCAATTCTTGGGATATAGTTAAAGGAGAAACTGAATGCAAGGAATAGTTTATTAGATTGTCCTAAATTTTAGTGGCAGTTACTGTACCTGGCATATTATTAAACTTGTATAATTATCTTTCTAGAACAGATGTGTCTAGCCCACAGCCCATAGGCCACATGTGGCCCTTGACAGTTATTAATGCAACTCCACAAGATAAAAAATACAAATAAAAAAGTTTGTTATTTATGTACACTAACTGTATTATATTTTTATGCTGCCCAAGGCAATAGGTCAAAAGATTGGATGACCATCTTCTAGACATTCTTTTTAGTAATTTTAAAATTTCTAAAATTGCCTCCATTTATTTATTAGAATAACATACCTCAAGTCTTATTTAGCCAAAATAATAATTTTTAATATCAGTATGTATCCTCTCTCTTCTAAACAAACCATTATATTAAATATTTTGACTTTTGATACATACTTAATATTTTTCATAAAGGTTTTTTAAAAATGTTAGTTTTTTCTAATATGGTTTCATTTGATAAGCAAATTTCCCTATTTCTATTATACAGTGGATTTTTTGGGTACCGAGTTACAGAGCTAGATTGAGCTTGGTATTTATCTCTAAAGACCTTGTGTTGCCATAATTGATCAGAGAAGTTCTCTTTATACCCATGAAGAGATTCCATGGAATAAATATCAATAATCAAGTCCTAATAGACTTACTGCACTGATGAAAAATGGGATCTCTATTATTTTATGTTCATTTACTTCAGCCTGTAGATGGTGATGACTGAACTAGAATCATCCCAAATGAAAAATAAATTTAGAATATATTGAGA